GACACACATACTTTATACATGTTTAATTTCTGTTGTTTTGGTTGGAAAACAGCTGCAGGTGTCCTCTAATTATATCACCATTTTCACAAATATCAACTGTCATATTTAATTTGTTACATTTACCATCTAGCCTCTTCAAACAGCGCACTTCTTTCATTACACATTTAGTGCCAGAGTTTTCAACATTTCAAGCTAACTTTCAAGCAAGTCAATTAATGCATTATTTACAAGTGAAATGTTATTAAAAACAGATTCTTAATTTACTAATGATTTAGTAGACCCCAGGCAGTATTCCAATTTGTTTTTATTGAAATTGGAAGAACATTTAGAACAAAGGGGAAAGTAATGTCAAGGATATTTTGGCCTATTTGTCTGTGCTGTACTTTCTGTGGTATTATGTCTACCCCTACATCTTCCCTCCCTCTTCTTTATATTGTATTTTTAATACATAACCTAACCAGTTGCAGCATGATTGAGGGGAAAGGTCTATGAAAAATGAAAAACAGCACAAACACTATTGTGAGTTTTGTTTTTAAAAAGCACCAGGCAGTCTGGAATGACTCAATACACATGTTCACCATACAATACAGCATATTTTGATTTACAGCACTGTTCTAGCAGCACAGCAGGTTAAGAAGGTTAGAAGTCAAGGGAAATTAAATGTTATTAGCATTCCACCATTGTTGTTCTGTACAAAAGTGAGTATGTAACTTTTCAAATGCATTTTTAAACTCAAATTTGTTTCTGAGGCTTTTAGCTTGTCAGAAACTTTTATGAGCACGTGTGTGCTTCTTTGTCCTTTCCCTTTTCTGCTCTTTTCTGCTCCTTTTCCCTTCCTATCTCTATCCATTTAGGATGGGCACTCCTACATTTTCCCTTTGCCAAACTGCCACTACCTACCTTTTCTCTTTGCCAAACTGCCACTAGGTACAATACTGCTGTTGTGATTAAAATGTTGACTTTGACTTTTAGGGCCACTTAATACAGGAAATATCCATGATTCAGTGGCAATACTAATCACTTGCAAACACTGAGCATCAACATTTTAATGGTGACTGAGATAACTTCAAGATATTTCTTTATGTTTGTTTTAGTGTGGGAATAAATGAAACCAAAGCAGGAATTCATGATCAGAGAGTGTTTTACTCCCACAGGGTGGCTTACCAACCACAGATATACTCCAACCACGTGGCTTCAATTTGCCTTTAAGGGCAGGGTGGGGGATGCTTGTTTCAGGACACTGGCACTCCCATGTATGGGAACACCTAGCTCAGACCCAGGTGTGGACACCTTCACTGGGAGATCTACATGTGGGTAAAGAGGCTGGGGCAGAGAATGTCTAATTTAGGCATAGCAGCTCCAGAAATCTTGGTGAGGAAATGGGAAGGCTAACAGGTGCTTTCAGAGAGCAGATAGGGCCCCAGGTCTTGTTTCTACACATGTAAAGCCTGCATAAAAGAAAGTTTGTGGGCAAAATACTACCACGCCTGACTAAATGAGGGCCAACATAATAAGTCTACACCACTACTACTTCTTCTAAAGTGATTAGAGGGGCAAAGCTGAAGCCTCTCTGTGCCTCAGACTATTATTTGTAAAACAGGGATAACACTGCTCCTGTACCTTGCAAAGCTGACACAAAGATAAGTTCAGTAATTATTTGGGATGATCTCCGTTATGATGGCAACAGTACTCACAAAATCAGGCTGATGGGTCTGTACCTTTCCCTACTAACTCCTCATCTATTTGGAGACCTCCTGTAGGTGACAACTTCTTAGGGTTGAGTGTGAAGTCAGATGTACCAGGCCGGCCATGAAATGACCCTTTACTGATGGTGCCACAAAAGCTGCAATCCCTGCCCTGTCACCAAGCACCTCAGGTCCCTGTAGGTTACTGAGTGCCTAACACAGCACCAGTTTCAATGTACAGGGAGCCAGGCTGGCCGTGCACTGCCCTCATCAGTGTCTTGTGAGCAAGTCTTCTGCTGCCTTGGTCCCTGATCACCTGAGGCTCATTTTTGCTGAAGGGCCCTGCAAAGCCACAGCAATCATCTGAGCTTTGACCTCACCAAAAGCTTCTGACATCCAGTGCTGACCCAACCCACCTCCTGTGGCTGCTTCAGAGGAGAGTCAAGGGCCTCCGGCCAGCATGAACCAGCCACCTTAGCTTAGGTAGAGAGGGCAGGGGCTCTGAGTTTAAAAGCTTCTGTTCTCACTTCTGCTGATGAGCTGCTGTGCTGGATCATTGCTAAAGAAGTCATCAGAAAGTTTCAGACCTTGCAAACTAATGCTGTGTTTATTCAACTTTCCAATCATTCTTCTCTACTATCTGTGTTTCACATACCGTGAAACTGCACTACACTGTGCAACTGAATTAGTTGTACAGTGACTCAAAGGCATTAAACAATGGCTTTGATATTTTAAGTACTGTCTAGGAGGGATTTTTAATTCCTTCCTCATAATGAAACAAGAAACACATGAAAAAAACCCCACAGTTAAACAACCCTGAAACATTGATTTTCTTTTCCACCCTGGGTAGACCCCTCTGACACAAGAGAACAAAAAATATCCTTAAAGCCTTCACCTTGTTTAGTAGCAGAATAAAAATAAAACAAGCATTGACACACAATTTTAATGTCACTCAGTAACACAAGAAATAAGTCCCTGTTATTAATGCACCTTCTAAGTTCACAGTATGTACTCAGAAAGCAAATCCTATGGGAACTTTCCAGATACTATTGAGTCTAAGGGTGGACGTGTTGATCTGTCTCCAGCTGCAGATAGATCTGCTGAAATGGCCACTGTATGGGACTGGTTAGCAAAGCCCTGGTATTTGAACTGTTCAGGGTGAACCTATTCATTGTGATTGTGACAGATTAGGGAGAGCTTAGTTGTCAGCTTAGAAGGAGATGCTAGGTTTTGGCAAAGAAGTGATGACAAGCTGCTGGAAGGGAGACCCACTGCTGACACACCAACAGTCAGAAGAGGATCCACACAGAACCTCAATCCCATACTGGTACCCCTGGAAAGCTGGGGAGAGGAAAAAAGAGATGGCTCTGCTTGCACTCACTTGGCCAGCAGGAGCCCAGAGTGGCACTGAAGCAAACGGGCGCAGTGTGGAGCAGGGAGCTGAGGTGGCCCCCGCTGGCCGCATGGACAGCAGAGGATCAGCTGCCACTGTGGCACAAACAACACTGAAGGAGAGTAAGTTCTGCCACTGACAAAAGACTCTCCAGACTGCTTCTTACTGGAGATAGAAGTGGGGGCAGAAAGAGGGAAAAATAAGTGAAAAAATGCTGTGAAACTACTGGCATTAGACTGCTCAGAGCACAAGGCCAGGCACCTAAGTGATGACTCACATCTGACAATAAATACACGAATCGTTGTTGAAAGTGTGTTTGACTTTCACAAAGGGGTTTAAGCAAATATTTGTTTGTTCATTAGTCTTGAGCAACACTTTTATGGCAGGAGATTCATTAAACCTTAACATATATCTGCAAACGAGATATTTGGTTGTCTTGCAGATTAAGACACAAAGCAATGCACACTGTTTACACAGACTGGCCTTGAAATACCTGTATTGGAGTGATATGCAGTTATTAGACACTGGCATTGTGAATCTTCATTCTATTGAAGGTTGGTTGGGATGCCATGTCTGCCATGTCAGCTTTAAAGGGCCTGTTTCTGCTTGTGTGCCTGCATCAGCTTTCAACTTCCATGACTAGTCTTGAAAAGCTGATGAATGAAATCTGCTTCATGAATTAAATTATACCTGTGTATGAGAAAGCCATTGCCTGTTTTTACAGATGGTGCTGTAGGGTTCCTAGAACCATTCACAAATTCCTCAGGACAGATCACAGCACAGACAGCTCTGCCCTGCATTAGGAAAATGTAATTTGACCAGGAAACCCTTTTTCCAAATATCCTGAGGTGACAGCACCACAACCACAACAATTTTTGTGTTAAAAAATTACCATGGTATCAGATGGCATGGACAAGAAGCACACATCAAGCTCTGCAAAGTGTCTGTGTGTGGGCAAGGCCATCCTTACAGCCCTTTTGTGCTCGCTGGAGCCTGGGCCAGGTGCTTGCTGGTGGGCTGTGCTCGGGTCACTTGTTGAGCTCTGACTCAGGACTTGCTACAGCAGCTAAAAATGAGGAAGATCCATCATGCCTCTTCTGGTGGTTGCAGGAGACATAAGAGCTCCCTCCTTTAGAGCTACTGTGTACTATTTATGCTATATGCATTCCAGCAAACAATGAAGATGGATCTATATATATTTTCAATCTACAAAGCAGATTGGGAAGTTATTGTGACCAAATCCTCAGTGATGTAACACTGGCTGCAGCATAACTATCCTGATTTATACCTATCAAAACATAACTACTCTCAAGTGAACAAGTTACGCTTTGCCTCCTCTCTCTGACTATTTTTTTTCCTGTGAGCAGAGCTGCACAGTGTAACGTTAGATGTGATGAGGGTCAGCAATAACATAATCACAGATCTGAGGTCTTCAATTTATGCTCCTCTGTGCCTTCACCTCATCTCACCAAATGATAACATAAAAGGTTACGATGTGCAAAGCAAAAAGCCCAAGTTGTTAACTTTCTTAACTTGAAAATATTACATTCCTAAAATTATTGCAAGCACAACATACTTGACATCCTATACAGATGATGTAAATGGAAGATGGCATGCAAATATTTCACAATATAGTGTCATTAAAATAATAAAAGCCTTATGTATATATCTGTTATGACAATGAAACCTGTACATTACTTGACTTGGTGCAATCCATATCAGTATTTCAGATGTACACTTGTGACACTGAAGAAAACTTCTGTCTGGGGGGAAATGATGACCAATATCTTTCAATTTCCCTATGCATCCATAGCAGCAAAGCAACTGAAGCCACTGAATATAGACTGACATTATCTTCTACTTCCCTGTGCTTTTCTAGATAGAAAACCTGTTTAAAATCAGTCCATAATTAGCATATTTACCTGCAATCTTGGTGTGGGCAGAGCTGGTGTGGAAGAGAGATCTGACCAGACTTTATATCCTGCTGACCTCATTCCCATTACAACTTAGGGTGTTCACAAACCCTATGGTGAGAAAAAAAAAAAAAAAACCAAAACAAATTGTTGGCATGAGAGAATTTCTGTGTGGTCTCAAAGAGATGCTCAATCTAGTAGAACATATTGTGGGAGCACAGAAGAAACCTACTCTGAAAGCTGACAACATCAGTCAGGCACTTTCCTTCCCTTCAGGGCTGTGTTACAAGGACTAGCCATAATAGGCCATACTAACTTCAGAAGGCTTGGGACTGCAATTTTTTTGGTGGGTCTTTTGTGTTACAGCTGCTAGTGCTAATTTTATAGCTTAGAAAGCACAGAGAGTGATACACTGTGCTTAAAAAAGAGGAAAAATAGTTCTCCTTTTTCCACACTTGAATACAGCTGCAATATGTGCAAGTTTCAGAAAAATAAACCATCCTGAAAAGAATTTCTGCTCATTGAAGAAATAATAACAACCTCTTGTATTCCCATTTCTCCCTTATCTTGCTTCTTGCTACATGCAGCTCCATGTCACTGAACATCTTCCTTTGAAACTCTGACTCTTCTTTTCTTGATGATATTCCCCCTACCTCAAACTTTCCCCAGAGGTGAGCCCAATGCAGGCTGCAGAGCTGAATAATCCTGAACTTGATAAACATGATTTTGCATCGAAATGTTTGGCATTGGCCACTTCTCTTTGCTCTTGCAAACATGACAACCAACTCCATCACTCAGTAAGCTCAAACCTTAACTCTGCATTTCTGGAAAAGAATCTTTGCCTCAAATGATACTGCTGTAGATATTGAATACCTGCAGCACTCTTTCCTCAGATCCCTTCATGCTCACTAGTTAAACCCTATAGATGCTCATACAGAGCTGCAAAATCTTAAGATATAAAAATTTGGCATTCCTTCCTAATTGGCATTTGGTAGGTGAGCTGATAACCTTCTCATTGCCCTGGCATAAAGGCGAACTGGGATTTGCTGGCTGGGAGAAATTTAAGTGGTATAGGTGAAGACTGCAAATGGAGGGTCCTGCTTAGGAGGACTGCACTCAATTATTGTGCAGTTATGAGAAAAGAGGAGCAGAGTGACTTTTAGGAAGAGCATAAAACTTGGAAAAGAGGGCAGCTCAGAAAAATGAAGATGCTTCCTGAAGGAAGGTGACCCCAAACTGAAGAGTTTAGGTGAAGATCTGAAATTCTCCAAGTCTGAGAGTATTTGGATGTTAGATGTCTGTCTCATCAGTGCTTTCCTGCCTCAACATATACTGATGCCTCCTAAAAAGTAGTTCAGCTGGGCCTTGCTAGAAGCAGATACTCAAAGGCATAGTTAAAAGCTGAAATGACAACATTGAGAACCAGCATGAGGAGCTTGCAGGCATGTCTCAACAGGGAAAGGTGCAGGGTCTTAGCAAGCCTGAATTCTGTGAAGGATTGTAGGAGGGCAAGCTGTGAGAGGCACTGTACCAAATTAACTCTGCTACACCCACTTTGAAACTCAAGAAAAAGGGACTAATAGCTGAACAGGGGATCTCAGCCATCCAAACAGGGGAATGATCTCCTCCACTGGACTGTCATTGTTTTTTTTCTCTTTGATTTTGATGCCATTTAGCATTTAAACAGGTGGCATTTGAGCAGAATCAGTTTCTCTAAACACTGCACCTTATATATTGAGTACAAAAAAGTTATTTCAAGGGCTGTGTTGCTATGTGATTGCAGAAACAGCAGTGCAGGGAGAAATGTCACCAATAAGAGCCTTTTGAAAATAGAAAACATTTAGCTGTTGTGAGATTACTTTTTCTGTTTTCATTGTTTAGAAACATATAAAACTACTGTAGTTCATATCTGCACTTTTGATAGGTTGTGTGACTCACACTGTGATTACACCAGAAATATCAAAGAGGGAAAATATACATAACCCATGGTTAGGATTAAATGTGAGTTGCAAATAATCAGTGTTTATAGCACATTTAACCTGGGTGCAGTACAGTTTGTTCAGATTTTATTTAAGTCTGAATATCCAGTGTTGTGTTTGGAGCATTAAGTGCACCACTGACATGAGCAAGAACAGGACTTTTGCTGCTGAATGCAAAACAGAGTTTTGCTGAGTTCAAAAGTCTGTAAGTTCACAAAACAAGTAGTGTTTCTTGCCATAATTAGACTGCAAAAAGCATTTGCTTAAAAAAAAGTTTTAATTACGATTGGCGTTTCCAATCCCAGTGCTGGAGGCGGTTGTCTACTGAAAATTGATGTCCTTTATGGCACTGGCAATAGACAAATCCAGTGGAAAAGCCCGTAAACAAGTTTCTAGGCAAATTTAATATTTGTTTAACCACTGGAGAAAGCATTTTGGTTGTTACCCTCTTATTAAAAGAGGTTGGAAATGGATTCACACACTCTCCTTTGCTGAGTTAATTGTCATATGGTTGGCATCATAGGCAACATCATTTTTCAGCAACATAGCCACCTCCAGCACTAAGCACACAAATGCCAATTGTATCTGAAAACCACTTTTCAGTTCTACTACACTACTACTAAAAACATTTTGCAGTTTATTTGTGATGAAAAACAATTCTCTTTTTAAGAACAATGGAACTATTGGTCTGAGCAAAAGAAATGAATCTGGGAACTGTCTTTTAAACTCCATCTGAATTGTCAAATAGACTGATAAGCGATTACTGTTAGGCAAATTTTGGCCCTGTTTGAAGGCATGAATATTAGAAACTCACTCTGTGCCACACATCAAAGAACCTGTACATGGGTAGGGCTTGCCAGCTCTGAAGGTACATATGTGAACACTGGGGCTAAACTGGTGCTGCCCTCAGCTTCGGCCCCAGGGGGGGCTCCCAGCAGTCTGCACGTCAGGCACCATGGATGCCAACTCTGTGTAAAACCATTTCCATAGCCCAAAGTCCTGAAAAAGGGTCTGGATAAAACGCCTTGAGCTTATGAATACACTCAATATGCAGACAATATTAAAGAAAATATTGCAGTATCCAGCTGTGGGATTTTAGGTGCTTACCAGAAAAAAGATGGGTGACAATTTTCATCTTACATTTAAAACATTCCTCCCCATGCTAGAGATCTAATCAGGAAAGAAATGAATAAGATACATTAGATACATATGCAGCTGATACAGCCTGACTGATTAGTTAGATGGAGTGAAGACATTTAGGCATAGGAAGACTTTCCCCAGTGCTTCTGCTGTCTCTGTCCTCAAAAAAGACAGAACTGAAGCTGCATTCAGTGTGGGACAGAGCCAAGTGTGCCCTGCTGGGGGGACTAGCACAGCCTTAATGGCATCACATGTTGCCCATTTCAATTTTTGTATCTGGAGGCTGTTATTTGATCTTTGGCTATTAATTAAAAAATACAGAGATTTCAGGCAAAATTATTATTGTCTTATATACTGACTACTGGGCCAAAGGTACATAATTGGCATGGTTTGGCCTCACCCACTGAGTGTAACATAAAACATGCTGTATAAATATATGAACACTTTTATATTTTAAACAAATTTGTGGACATGGTGCTCTCACAAATGAAGAAGCAACATCTGTACTAATCATAATTCCTGAAGAGCACATTACCAAATGAGACACATGTGTAGGGTTTTATCCAATCTGGCAATGAAACTGATTGTACCTGAGTTACCTGGCCAGCAAGGGCTGAGCAATCAGATAATGCGATGGATTAACAATTCTTAGAAGCAATTTGGCTAAACAAATGTAAATGGCAGAAAGACAAAAGGCAAAGTGATCAGCCCCTAGACCTGCTCTGCTCTCTGAGACAAACAGATTACTCATAGCCCAGTTGTAATCTCACTACTGATCATGGCTGTATTTGGACTAGTACAGTAGCCTAAAACTGACTTACTTTAGGAAATAATCAGAGAGGTGAGGCCTTTTTCTGCTGTTACCATTCCCTTGAGACAACATTCTCCTTTTTTAGTGTTTTATATATGTTTTAAAAGAAGTGCAGTGCCTGGAGCCTAGCATACAGAAACAGTTTTATAGTAACATAGAGAAGAAAAAAAAAACATACATAAGGAAGCTTCCAAGAATCACTGTTGACTGCAATATTACAAAAACCAGGTAAGGTTTACCCTTAGCTCATGTAAACAGGTCAAGATAATCACAAGATAATCTCTTTTACATGTTTAGAGTTCTGGTATTTAAAACATTTTAATTTACACACTTCACATACTTTTGTGGACTGCTGCAGATACTGTAATTTCTGCCCAGATTTCCAACAGAGGATGTCTACAGAGTGGCTAACCTGGACCTTGCTACATGCATTTGAACTTCATTGTTCAAGTAAATTAAACTGAATTAAGCACAGCCTACAAATTGTTCATTGGGATGGTTCTGCTGCCAGGTGAGAGTCATGGTGCTTCTTCCCAGACTCCTGGAGACAATTTACACTGTTTGTTTCACCCTTAGAAGGACTCATGGATGGTCTGCATGATATCCCATACTGGTTGTATGATAAATAGATAACATGATTGTGCTACAGTAAATTATATACTGCTTCCAAGGACAGAAGAGCTTCTGTAAGGTGTTCAGTGCTTTCACTTTTCTTTGTCTTCTATTTTAGTTGATTTATTTTCTCTTTTTCTGCCTCAGTTCATCCTGAGATCCTCTTCTTACAGAGCTTTAGGACCTCTAATTTCTCTGGATTCCACATCTTCTTTGGCTTGTTTTCTACATAATTTATTGAAGTCTTTTTACTAGAAAATATAGAAAGCAGCTTTTAGGCCTTTGGGTGGTTCTTAACTATGACTTTGGGAGCAAAATAGTCTGAGATGTTCACTAGCTGCACCTCAATACCTCCACCTGACTTTCAGGCTGTGTTTTGTATCTTGTTTAGTGGCATTTATATGTGACATTTATGTGGTGTTTGTATAGGCCAGCTGTATGAGGTTCAACAAGGCAAAGTTCTGGGTCTTGCACCTGAGTCACAACAGCCCACCTGAACACGAGCCAGCTGTGCCCAGGTGGCCAAGAGGCCAATGCCTCCTGGCCTGTGTCAGCAATGGTGTGGCCAG